AGGACTCCCCCGGGGATGCTGAGGGAGCAGCCTGGAAACATCAGGACCAATTAATTACCAGTGATTAACGCCTGCCTCCACCTATGTGTCAGGCTCCCTCTCTAACAGAGCCAAGGTGCTTTAAAAAGATGTGTCCTTAGGCATCTTATAATTGGCAGGAATGTCAGAACCACCAAGATGATGCCATAACAAACTACGTGGCAGAGAGAGCAGCCTGCCTTTCCTGGTGTTTGCTTACTTACCTCATGCACACAGCGTTTCTGCAAGGCGCAGGCCTCTGTGGCCCCTGTGACTAGCCTAACCTTATAGACTGGGATGAGTCCTCACTCAGGATGAACGTGTGAGTCCTATACCACACCACACCTCTAGAGAATACTGCAGCAGGAGGTTCAGAGAAGTTGGGGAGGCTGGAAGACAGGCCTGTTGCAGGTGTGTAAGCATCAGAAACAAACCAGGCCCGAGGGCAGAAAGATAGCTTCGTGACGTCAGGGAGTGAGGTGATGCCTACCCATGCCATGCACCCACACTACAAGGGGTGGAGCATCACAAGGCCAGGCAGCAGGAGGAAAAGCTGGCAAGTTCACCTCCGCATAACTTTGAAATCAATGTGCTGTAAGCTCAGGAAGGTCAGAGGCAAGGGTGATGGAGAATGCAGGGAGCAGATCCCCAGGTAGAGAGCTGAGAAGAAAAATAAATAAATAAAAATTTTAAAAAAGCAGAGGCCTACTCCATAAACAACCCCAGCGGGGCTGGACAGGAAGTGAAGAGCAGGAAGATAGCCCTACACCCCAGGATGAGACCAGGAGAACAATGGCATGGAGCACAGGGTGGACTCAGGCCTCTGAGCAACAGAAGGCCAAACATTAACCTCACAGGAATCCCGGAGTTAAGAGCTCAGAAGGAATTCCCAATGACCCGGTTCTGATTTTGACCCCTTCATTGTGTGCCGGACAATGGCAGACACCGTCCTTGGTATTGTTCTGTGGCTGACACGTTTGCTGGTCAGGAAGAACAATGCGCCAAGATACTATGTTAGGCATTCCATTGTTGTTCCTGCTTGCTTTATCCCGAGTTCCAAATGCCAACCCTGCTTGAGAGACACTTTAATGAGGTTAATCTGTTTCCAGTGTTGGGAACAATCACTGTTCGATGCTGTTCTGTGGCGGACAAACATTGTACAATCATCCCTCACAGAGATTCGTGCTGGGTTGCCTTGTAAAGCCCCCCTCCCCTTACCACCAGGGCTCTGTGGTCCTGCTTGACTCTGGGTTCCATTGTCTGTGAAATCTTTATCAGCTCTTCACTAAACAACCCAGCTTGTTAGGCCTGCCCCCATTCTCAGGAGAACACCACTCCTGTTAATGAATAATGTGGGGGTTCGTGAGGTCCCTCCTGCCCTTGTTCAAATCCACATAGGTTTTCTGGGTCAGTTCCCACAGGCAGTTCCACCTTGAGTAGTCACCCTTGCCTAACTTTTCAACCTCCCCCACTCGCAGTACATCTCCCACCTGGAGAGAGAGGACACGTCACAAGCTGGGCTGGGCACCCTTTATCTCTGATGGCGTAGACCTGCCCTTTCGCTCCCCTTAGGCTCTGTAAGACCAAAGGTCAGCCACTCCCACAGCTATCCCCACAGACATCTCCAAGGAGAGATATCAAGGTCATTGTGGAATGCTAAGACCCTAAGATTGACAGATGCCAGGAAATGTCATCCTGCATTCTCCTACAGGGCAGTGTCCTAACAGCCAGGGGCTGCTGGTCTAGCCCCATGCCTCCCACAGGTTTGGGGGATAACGTCCCCCAGAAGTTTCCCTGTCCCCTCAAAAGCTGGACTAAGTTCTCCCACGTCTCTGCATGCTCCTCTACTCAGTTTTTCTCATCAGTCTGTGCCCTCAGGCCAGGACTGCATGCTACTCCCTGGGACAGGCTATGTGGCCAGCGCCTGCCTGGGACAGGACAGGAAGTGTGTGCTCCAAATGCATTTAAATAAAGGAAGAACAAAAGAGTGCATATAAGGAAGCGATAAGAGTGACTTCAAGGGACACTGAGGCACAGGGTTCAAAGGAGCTCTAATTATCTGCTTCATAAAAGCAAACACAAACCCTTATCCGTGACCACACTCGTGTCGTGAACACCCAGTAATTCAAAGTGTCAATCAACTCCTCAGGTGAAGCCCAGTCTAGCACACACATAGTTAACGCACAGACCTCTGTCTGGCTTCAGGGGCCCTTGCCCTTTCCCAGTCCTGCTCCTTGTGACCAAGGACGACAAGAGGGCTGAGGACTGCCCCCACCAGCACCCCACCCCACTCCAATGTGCCCTGTTGGGGCTTACAGAGGAAACCAGCCCTGCCATCTAAATACAAACTTCAGGAAAGCCGCCCATACTGGCATGGGAACAAATTCTCCCTTCCTTGAGCTCTTTGGTCGTTTGGTCCCTGGAGATGTGACTAATGGTCAGGAGACAGCAAGACTTCTGGGCAGGCATGGCAGCACTTAGGGGAAAGTTCGCATTTCAGACCCAGAGAGGCAATTTCATAGGCACCCAGATAGAGTGCTTGCCTAGCATTGTAAGTGACCCTGGGTCCATTACCAGGCAGAGCCGTAGCATCTTACCACCTAAAGGCTGTGCCTAGGGGATGTGTGACTTGGGTAGCTACAAAGGAAGCTACTTTGTTGCTGCGGCATCTCTAACAGCTGGTTTAGAAGGCACAGGGCAAACATGTCATTGACAGCATGAAGAGAACACTTAGTTCTATTAGAGTGTTGTTTCAAAATGGATCTTTTTCTTTCCTCAAAAGTCATATGCACATTGACAGGTTTTCTAATTCAGGGTAAATATCACACCACAGTAATGTCTTAGGTGGCCAGGCTGCTTAAGATGCTTAAGGCAGCTTGAGGAATACAGCAGAGCCAATGGCCAGGAACTGTACAACTAATAGGAAATACATCAACCTCAAACCTCAACATTAGTTTGTTTGAGTTTTCAAGTGAGATCTGGAATTTGTGTGGCTGACTAGTTCTTTTCAAAGTTCCCAGTGTCTGAAAGTTAGGTCCTGCAATTAGCTTTGCTAACACAGTCAGTCATTCAGAAAAACCTAAATACAAACGGTGGCTCGTGCTTTTCCATCAGAATGACCTAGTCTGGCCCCCTTAGAAGTACTCGATCTTTTGGTTAATATTTCCCACCCTGGGCTGCACAGCGGGGCTACATCCAGAGACCACTTTTTACCTTTTATTTTATTTTATTTTTAGGGAGGGACTCAGCAAGTTTCCTGGGCTAGCCTCGAACTCACTCTGTTGCCAAGGCTGGCCTTGAACTTGAGATACTACTGCCTCAGTCTCCAAGTAGCAAGAACTACAGGCCTGCAACAGTTGACCCAGCCCAGCAAGCCTGCTCTTTTGAGAGAAAGGGTAGTTATAAACCACTCCCTAAGGTGAGGGAAGAGACCCTGGACAGGGAGGGAACTCTCTGAAGTTGGCTGCTAATGTAATCATCCTTCTTCAGTGACCAATGAAAAAGCTGTCACCAGGGAGGCCAAACTCATTTAAGAAACCCCAGCACATATCACCAGTTTATTCTAGTATGTAACAGTTAATAATTTATAGTATAGTTGATCAGTATCGCTCCTGCAGAAAAAAAAGGTGAAATTCTTAAAAGGAAAAAAATGCAGAATTAAGAAACAGTTTTAAAATATACATATATGTATATATATAGGAAGTGCCAGTAAGCAGCAGACAACGTTTGTTAGGCATCGAAGGGGGAAGGCAAACTGTTGAGAGGCCACACCTTGTGGCCTTTGGGCCTGCATGGCTGTCACAGCGGCAGCTGAAGTGTATTCTCTAGAGGCGAAGGCAGAAAGTCTGGCCCGGCTCCTCCAGAGCTGGAAGTCTGGCTCTTGCAAATATCTCCCAGCGCCCTCCCGGCCAAGCACCAGAGGAAACAAAACTAAAAAAACAATTTGCTCAGAGAACAATGCGATGGAGTTTTGCTTTGCTTTCACACTCAAGTCTAAATGTGGTTATAATTTTCAGACACAAACTCATAAAAGGCAAGAGTTGAAGCAGTGACTTTTAGGATGCGTAGAAGCGCCCGCATCTGTTCTCAAGCGTGCCGTAGGCTACACAAAAGTCGTGGGAAAGCAAAAATACAGATGTTTCCAGGCAAACGGCCCAAAGCTGTTCGGCCTCAACCATTACGGTCTCCCAAACAACCAAAAACACGCCCAAAGCGATTCCCCCCGCACATGTGTGTGAGGTTCTGAGTGGCGTGGGGTGTGCGTGTCCACCCTTCCAGCCCCGACCCACTCGCGCGCCCCGACGATTAAGCGCCCGGGCGATGAGGGTTCAAATCTCGCTGGCTCCCTGGCACCCCGCCGCGGTGCGCGCTAAGTTTCAAGTCCCTTCCTAAGTCTCCCGCACCCAGCCCGTAACAAAGGAGGTTCCGTAATGGATGCGCGACCGCAGCCCACAGGGACCGCGAGCGGAGAGCCGCCGGAGGAGTGCACCTGGCCGTGCCACCCGCGACACACTCAGGGGCCGGGCTGGCTGAGCGTGCCGGGCGCTGGACAAAGAGGCCTCGCGGGGCGGCGGGGTGCGGGGTGGGAGGCTGGGGAGCGGAGCCCGCGGGGGACTCACCTTCGCGGCGGCCCTGCTGCGCTCCTCGTGGAGCAGAAGGGCGCCGAGCAGCAGCAGAAGGCAGGCGCTGAGCCGGGGCCCCATTGTAGCTGCGCCCGGCGCGGCGGGGGAGCGGCGGAGGCGGCGGGGAGCTGAGCCCGGCTCCCGGGGGCCGCGGCGGGCAACTCAGTCTCGGAGGGCCCGAGTGTGAGCCCTGCTCACCGTCCCGGGCGCGGCGGCTCTGAGCAGAGACCTGAGCGCGCGGCCCGAGGAGCTCCCCAATTTGTTGGCGCTGCCCCCTCCCCTCGGCAGCGCGCGGGCGGCGTCTCCAAGGGGAGGACCCTGCGGCGCGGGTAAGAGGCGGAGGCTGCGCGCCGCTCGGGACTTGGTGTCGCTGAGCGTCCGACCGCCGCGGCTCCGCGCTCCGCACCCAGCTCCTCCCGCGCCCGGGTCCTCTGAGCCCCCCTCGGCCCGCCGATCCCCGAGAGGCACGGGCGAGGGGCGCCGGGGCCGGGAGTCCGGCGCCCGCGGAGCGAAGCCGAGCGGGCCTGGCGCTGGGGTGCCGCGGACCGACGCTTCTGCGGGGCCCATGCGCGCGGGCAGCCGCCCCTGACGCGGGAGCCCGAGGTGAGAGCCGCCCCCGGGAGACGCCGACACCCAGGCCTCAAGTCCTGGGCTTGGAGCGCTGGAGCCGGGCAGAGCCGCGCGCCGGGCTGGATGGGAGTGGGGAGGAGGTGGAGGGCTGGGGATTGCGCTGCGTGGGCTAAGCGACTCCAGGCAGGGCCCAGGGAGAAGAGTGCCCCTTTCTCTGCCTCCTGATCACCCCTCAGAGAAACGAGCGACGGCACTGGGAGTCAGGGTGCTGCGTGACGGTGCCCTCCCTGCCAGCGACCCTTGCTAACCCGCTTTGTCTCTCCCCTCCAGATTAGGAGGGGACCGAGCAGAGCCTAGACCTGGAAGACTCGATCATGGAGCGAGTGCGGTTCGCAGCGTCTAGCCCTGCCCTGCGAGGGTAAGTCACCCCTGCCCGGCCTCCTGGCTGCAGGGGACCTTTGCAGGCAACTTTGAGGAGTTGGCAAGTTGGGACCCGCACGTTCGTGTCATTCTCTCACTCTCCCTCCCTCTCCCGTGCAGGTGGCCGCTGCTGGCGATTGTGACATTGGGGCTCCTGGCTCAGAGCGCCTTGGCGGTAAGTTCCGCTCGAACCCCACGCTTTCCGCGCCCGCAAGGGTTGGGAGGCTCGCGGAGCCTCGTGGAAGACAGGCACGCTGAGCCCACCCGAGCGTGCTTGAGTGTGTGAAGGTGTGCGTTACTGTGCCGGCCGGCCGCGCGTCTAGAGCCATGCAGGCGTTGGCCCTCTCTAGGGAGCTAATAATTAAAACGTAGCCCGAGGCACCGTTTGCTGCCAAGCTTTGGCCGTAGCAGCGAGGGAGGAATGTCTGTCACTAGGCCATGAGGCGCACGGTTGAAGGGGGTTGGGAGCAAAGAGTTTCCAGAAACTCAGCGACGGTGTCCAGGGCACTGCGGTGGGCAGAGAGCTTCTTGCTTAAATATGAGACCCCGGGAGGGGCGGAGCAAGGAGCAGACAGCCTCCTGCTTTAATGCTGTTTAGGAAACAATGGGCTGGAAACCCGAGGTCTCTCCCAAATCTTGAGTAGGCCCTGAAGAGCCACAGGCCAAAGGGAGGCCTGTGGCCCGGGTCTGTGGCCCGGGTCCCTCTGTGACCTGTTCACTACGCCCCTTGCTCTCTCCATGGCCAAAGCAGGCCGGACAGAACTGCCTTTGGACTCGAGGAATGTCCTGGGGTTTCCACACATGCTGACTGTAGCCCATCTGTGTGGAGCTGAACACCAGTGTCACCCCGGTGGAGGGTGTCCTCGTGGAGACTGTTTAAAAGAGGCATGAAAACTGAGGGCACTGGCCAGGTCTGCCTGCCTACCTTTCTGGGTAGGGCTCAGTGCCTAGACAGAGCTTGGGGACGCCAGTGTGTCGGCTCTCTGGAACCGACACACCCCAGGGCAAGACGGTGGGCTTCAGTGTTGTTGGCCTTCCCTCACCTAGCTGAAACCATCCGTAATTCTCAGGCTTGCAGGAAGTGGGAACTGGTCCCAGCAAAGAGTTGCCTTCTGCTCGCTGGGATCCAGGACCCAGCATGAGGAGAAAGGGGAGCTCCGACCAGACTCTGGACAGTGAATCCTGGCCAGTCTTACAGCTTGAGTCTGTCTCTTCCTGCCCCAGTCCTTAGCCTTGCCTTAAGAAGAACAGAACCTAAATGTTAGAGCAGCCATTACCTGTGGGCCCTCATGCATGGCTCCCACTTGGCCAGGATCCATAGACCACAGCACACACTTAAACGAAAGTTCCTAGAAAGTTCCAGGATGTGTACTGACTCCCACAGCCTGGCCCCAGAGCCACTGCCCAGCTGTCTTCATTCCCTGAGACTGAAGACCTTACTGGGTGTCATTTTTAAACCTGGAAAGGGCTTGCCGTGGAAAGGCAGTTTACATAGCTCTGCCCTCACCTCATGATACCAAACCTCAGTTTACACACTTCTCAGAGTATCTACATCTTGTCCCAGAGGCCATGTTTCCTGCTTGTCCAATACAGCTTCATGCCTCCATACATCCTTTTACATACTACAAACCCACCTTAAAGTCTTGTCCCCTTTATACTTGGATGTGACCAAGAGCATGTATTTCCCAGCAAAACCAAATAGCCTAGAAAAGCTTTTCAAAATTTCAGACCCCTGACCCTCATTGCAAACATCCCTGTAGGACTCTCTGGGGCGCTGCCTGAAACCCTGCATTTCCAAGACAGAAAAACTTTGGGAACCTTGGTCTGTGCATGTGAGCTGAGATACAGCCTCTGAGGTCTCATGTGTGCTTATTGCATTCTCTGGGCTTTAGATTCTGAATGTGCAAATACAGTGGGTGAATACTGTGATGGCTTTCCCACAGCTGTGTGAATCTGTGTGCCTGAAACAGCATGGAATTGGTTATGGTCAACAGTACATTGATCAACTTCTAAGCCTCCTGTTAGGCCATTGGCTTTTTCACAGCTAGTACCTGTGACATAATTTCTTGATCCTAAACGTTGTGTATGAAATTCTTACTTGTGGCAAGCTTGGTCCCTCCCCTCTTTGTCTGCCTAATTCTGTGATTCTGTCTCATTGTTTCTGGTATCCGGAATCTTCATGGGGTGGGTCCTTCAGTCACTAGGACCACTGGCTACATGGTACAGTGCAGAAACAGCTGAGACTTGTAAGCGTAAGGAATGGGTAATCATTTAATGAAAGCTTCTTGTATACCAATTTGTATGTGTGAGTACATCAAAGCCTCCAGGAAAATGCTCCCAAGGCAGGTAACTCTTATGCCCATTTTACATGCTAGGAAAAAAGAGGGGGGAAATAGAAATAGCCTGCCTGGAATTTCTCTTGTAAATAGCTAAGGATGTGGGAGCCAGGCACCTCACCACCACACCAGCCTCCTGGGTTCCCAAGCCATAGTGAGGACGCTCTGGAGGTCTTGGCATGTGGGGGCTTTCCCTGGTCTTGACAAACAGTAAAGCTGAGACACTGGTTTCTGGGAAGTGAAGGCAGTGGAGAGGTGTCTCCTGCAGACCAGGAGCACAGAGGAAAAGAAAAGAAGGAGACAGGAGAGAGCATCATCACCTCAGCTCAGGGTACCATAGACCCAGACGCTCTGCCTCTGCATCTCCGGACACTTACTGCCATCCACATAGTCACTTTTGAAGGCTTCCAAATGTGAATGCAAGGCCAGAAAAACTACTGCCCATCCTAAGAGCAAGGCTTGAGTTATAAAGGGGTGCCAGTCCCAGAATCCTCCACAGCAGGCTGCCTGGGTAGCAACCCCAACTGGATGAGCAGCTGAAGCCTCCTGTGGTCACATCTATGTGTGCTCGAGTTAGGACTGGGGGGGGGGGGGGGTAGGGTCCACCTCACAGGGTTGTGAAGGGAGCAGGCCCGCCTGGAGGCAAAGGAGGACTGTGTGTTCCCACTTCCCTTTGATCCCTTTGTGTGAACCGTGGGCCCCTAAGAAGCGGAAGTGAGTGTGAACTCTGCCTTTATGGAATAGAGCCGCCAACACTTCCAGCCCTCTGGAGCTTTGGTGATCACCTTCCCTGAGGAGCTCAGATGGCTTACTCACAGCACAGACTCAACAGCCCACACATTTCTAGATGGATTGGAAATGGGAGCTGAAGAGCATGGACAGGAAAGGGCTCCAGTCCTCTCTGAGCAATGGTCAGACCCACAAGGAGAGAATGGGAAACTCGAGGACAATTTTCCAGAGCAGAAGAAAAAGCTAAGACTTGGCCATAAATAAAACTCAAAGGGCTGTAGCTGTAGGCATGGGGAGAAGCAAATAAGAGTTCAGTGAGGGGAAGTCAGGGCAGAGCCTACACACACACACACACACACACCCTTTTCAACAAAGTGACTAGAAAGCTGCTGCGAGAAGGCTGCAATTGGGGGTCGTCAAGAAGTGTCTAGGATCTGAGAATTCCAGAAAATACCTTGAAATTCACCTCTGGCTTCTTACTGCCAAGGCTGTGGCATGCTCCCTGCAGAGGGGAGTTAGGCACCAGCCTGAGGCGCTTCCCCTTGAGAACCAAGCACTCTTGGCTGCTAACTGGCTGCGAGAGCTCAGAGGGAGTGGAGCAGGAGGGACAGTGGATGAGCGGCAAGCTGCTCAACGCGCACAACCCAGGCTAGTCAGAGACAGACCCCAGCCTGTCACCTCTGCCAGGCCCTGTGGTACACTTAGGCCCTGGGCATGGGCCTAGGGTTCCAGAGCCCACTGCGAGTGAGGAAACTTGTCTGGGTGGACGCCAGGGTTCTCTAGCATGTAACATAACAGCAATCTGGGTGCGAGGCCTTCCCAGCCGTGCTGTGGCGAAGCTTCTGGAATCCAGTGAATAAACGGAACTCCTCAAAGCCAGTCCCTCCAGTTAATGTTGCTATCTCCAGCCACAGCCTTTGACCCCACTGACATTGTCTCCACGACAATGAGGTTTTTGTTTACGTGGTCTATCAGAGAATGAGGTGATATGGAATCTAGGGGGGCAGCTGTGGGTATCTGAGTCCTGTGGGTATAGTTGGAGGGTGAATTTCAAAGAAAGCTAAGTAGCGCTTCCCTAGTAAACTCTAACCTAGTCACGGAGGGTGGTGTTGGGGAGCCTCCTGTCTTTGGTTCCTTGGAAGTCCCTGCTCTCTGACCATCTCTGCTAAGGCCTGTTCTGCTCTGGCCGAGGCTGATTTTGCAGCAGTGAGCTTTACTGTACATCACAGCCTCAAATGCGATGAACCACCCGGAGTGGATCCTGGCACAGAAAAGCCATGTTAGTGAAAACCATAGCAGAAATCTATTGGAGGCTATAAATGAATGTGCTAATGTTCATTTCTTCCATTGGAGAAGTGTGCAAATATCTGTAAAGTGTTAGTTCATCCTCTTGTCTGGGTAGAGGTTGTACAGGGACTTGTACTGTCCTTGCAATCTTTCTGCCAGTGACAACTACTTGAGAATATAGATAATTGAAGCTCTTGGGTATTTTGGTGTTAGTGCAGGTGGTGGAGGTAGTGGAGGTGATGGTGGTGGTGGTTATGGTGGTGGAGGTGGTGGTGATAGATGGTGGTGATGGAGGTGGAGGTGGTGGTGGTGACGACGTTTGAAATATGGTTTTGCTGTATAGCCCTGGCTAGCCTTTAGCTCACAAAGATCAGACTGCCTCTGCCTTTGGAGTGCTGGGATTAAAGGAGGCGTGCACCACCCTGCCCAGCTCTCAGGAGTTTTTAGAAGCTAGTGAAATGTCAAATACGGGTGAATCACGTGTCAGTGACCGCAGAAGTGCCAAGGCAGGAAACACTGCCAAAGTCACTCTACTGACTTGGGGACTATGGCAGGGGTGGCCCTATGCTCAAAGAGGTTTGTCCCCTGGCTTGGGTGGGGGTTTCCTCCCCCAGAAGGCCATGCAGAGGAGCAGCAGGGGCACTCTCCACCCCCACAGGGAGGTGGGGTAGTGCGCACGTAGCATTTGCTGTTCTTATCCTGCCACTCCCCTGAAGTCAATGCCCTTTGTAATGGCTGACTGACTGGCTGATAGCTGCCTCTACGGGGATCGGGAGGATGGGGTCTCCTGATGGACCTACGCAGCTTTAGAGGCTGGGGCTTA